CACCGATCCATCTACTTCTCACACCACACATGCCCGAATACAAAAATCATGTTTCATTTCACCCCCCCCCCACACGAAGTCCACTAACGTTTTTAAAATCGGATCAATGAAAATACTAAACAATTATAGCTGTAGACACGTAAATATTATAAAAATAAAATGCTTATTTGAAGGTTTATTTCACTCAAGGTCTATATAGAAACAAACAGATAAAACCATCATTTCCTTAGCTTTATTCAATCTTCGTGTATTTTAAGAGGAAGAAAAATAATATTTCAGTAATTAAGATAGGATGTCAGCAAAATAACCTATTACCAGCAGCAAAGTGTCCTTTTTAAAAAAACAAATGCCAAGTAAAACAGTCCTAACTCTTATTTGCAACTTACCAATATACTTTGGTGTAACTTGTTTCGTTTTTGCGGTAAGTGCTACAGGAGAACTTTTCCCTTTGGCATTAGCAGAGTACAGGAGAAGGATGAAACGGGATTCTTCCAGTAGCTCAAAAACATGGAACTCAGGCTTGGAATGACTCGTAATATTGGCAGCTAGGCGTTCCAGTTGAGAGTTATAAACCTCCAAGAAGAAATATTGCTGTAAACCACCATCATAACCAGCCATACACTCCAGATGGATAGAATCAACCGTCGTGTTAGTAATTGTGCAATTTTTTAAAGGCTCTGGAGGGCCTATAGAAGTTTTAAAAAAATGTAGGGTTAGTTAACCATATGACTTAGTATGATTGGTTGGACTTGAATCTATAGAAGTTTTAAAAAAATGTACGGTTAGTTAACCATATGACTTAGTATGATTGGTTGGACTTGAATCTTATAGAAGTTTTAAAAAATGTAGGGTTAGTTAACCATATGACTTAGTATGGAAACATAATTATACACTGCCCAAACATATGACAAATCGTTGTACACAACCACTTGGAAATAAAATTATACACTACACAAACATATGACAAACTGTTGTACACAACCATTTGGAAATAAAATTATACACTGCTCAAACACGTGACAAACTGTTGTATACCATTTGGAAACATTGTCATATCGTGGTGTGCCACATATCGAAAATATACAAATGCGTTTCACATAATTTTCAATCTATCTTCTACGTTGTACACAATTGCTTTGTGTTTACCTCCCTGTATGTCATTTACTCTACCTTTTATCAATCCTTTTTTCAGCTGGTGTGGCCATGTTAGGATTACGGCCGAAAACGTCATTATGAGCAAAGGTACCAGCTGATAATTCAGTGTACTTTAATTGTTGCAGGTGGTTTGTGGTAACGAGTACATTTAATTAGTTTGTTATCCAACACTTAGTTTCTAAACTGTTTTTTAGTTCTTATTTATATGATTACCTTAATTTTGGCCTGAAGTTGTAAATAATATGTTAAAGGTTTTACGAAAAAATAATGCTTTTCTTACATTCTTTTGTATCGTTAATAAGCCTTATTTTGTTTTCCAGTCGTAAGCCGTCAAACATTTACAATCTTATTCAGATTGTGAAAGTTTTAATTATATACACATTTACAGAACTAATTACTTTAATGAATACATAACAGGTTAAAACTTTTGACATAACAAACTCATTCCTACTAATGGCATAGCTTATGCATAAAGATAAACCTTATTAGAAATTAAAGGCGGAAAAACTGTGTATGAAGCAGAAGATGATAAATACTTGGTCCTTAATGGGTGTATTTATTGATCCTAATGTATATACAACCATCGTTTAATCTGGTTAGTAGCATCTATAACTCAACGTTATAGGCTTAGGGCAATTTGAATTAAGAAATACAAGGCACACGAAGAAAAAGTTTAAGTGAAATGTAGATTGATACGAATAACTAATGAAACCAGAGACGCTAGTGGACTTAATTTCAGAGGTTAATCGAAAATTCCCGAAGTTAATTCTCTACATTTGTAGATAATGATTCTAAATATCTATAGTTAGATAAATATAAAATATTATTATAAGAATTTTAAATTAATTTTAATTTAGTAACATTATAGTGCTTATAATTTGTGTTGTTGTTTTCTTTTACTTTTCTTGCACATGTGCTCAGAGGGCGTGATTGTCTTGTTTACTTTCTTTGCTGCATGTGTAAATATTACCACAGAGGCATTCCGTGCATACGAATAACGTTGGAATGGATAAAACAGCACAGAAGAAACAAGATTATTCAACAGAGAGATATCTTGACTGTTCTATTCTAGGCTTTTACATCCAATACTTACTAATAAACACCAGTGAGAAGACACAGGGCTCTCGCTGGATCCCAACGTGATTTCTTCCCCAGCAGTACAGCGTCGAATAATCGTGTTTGTCTTTTGGAGTGAAAAATGCCACACTCTTCAGGCCTTCGGTATTGTTGTAGTTTAGTAGCTCCTGTCCAGCATTCGAGTTGTTAAAACTCCAACGAAAAGAAATGGCAGGAGGGTCCGCTTCAACTTGACACGTGACGAAAGCAGTTTCATTCACCGAAAGCCCATAAACTTTCTTCTGACCCTGACTACAGATTGGTGCAACTGCAAGAAACCGTTCGAAAGGTGCTTTATATCATTATTACAGAACAAAAAGGCAAAAAAAGAAACAAACTGAGATGTTTGTAGAACAATAATTGTAATAGAAAAGAATATTATATGTGACAAACTTGGTCTTTAAAAGTTCGAGTTCTTTACAAAATACTAATTTTAGAATATTATTAGCGAAACTAAGCCTAACCGACAAGAAATGAACCAGAAACAGGAAGCAAACATTATATGGTTACATACTATTACATATTATTTGTGAAACTAAACCTAACCGACAAGAAATGAACCATACACAGAAAGTAAACATTATATGGTTATATACTATTACATATTATTAGCGAAACTAAGCCTAACCGACAAGAAATGAACCATACACAGAAAGTGCTTCCTGTTTCTGGTTCATTTCTTGTCGGTTAGGTTTAGTTTCACAAATAATATGTAATAGTATGTAACCATATAATGTTTGCTTCCTGTTTCTGGTTCATTTCTTGTCGGTTAGGTTTGGTTTCGCTAATAATATGTAATATATGTAACCATATAATGTTTACTTTCTGTTTCTGGTTCATTTCTTATCGGTTAAGCTTAGTTTCACTAATAATATGTAATAATATGTAACCATATAATGTTTACTTTCTGTTTCTGGTTCATTTCTTATCGGTTAAGCTTAGTTTCACTAATAATATGTAAAAGTATGTAACCATATAATGTTTTTATAAATACAAGAGTAAATATACTTCAGTAAAGACTGATAGAAGAGAGGCTAAAGTCTCTCTCACTCTGAAACATGCTCAACGACAATTGTTAGAATTGTGTTCTATAAGTTTAAACTTTTCAACACTTTTTGATGAAATAATATGTAACCATATAATGTTTGTGAATACACTTATAAATAAGTATGTCATTACTTACCAAACACATAAAAAACCTGTCGTTTGATCCTGAAATTCACACAACCGTTTGATCCTGAACTTCACACAACTTATACATACAAGAAGAGTGAATACACTTATAAATATGTCATTACTTACCAAACTCATAAAAACCTGTCGTTTGATCCCGAAATTTACACAACTTATACATACAAGAAGAACAGTTTTTTATGTGTTTGGTAAGTAACGACATACTTATTTATATGTACATGTATATTCACTCTTCTTGTATTTATAAGTTGTGTAAATTTCGGGATCAAACGACAGGTTTTTATGAGTTTGGTAAGTAATGACATATTTTTAAGTGTATTCACTCTTCTTGTATGTATAAGTTTCGTAAGTAACGAAATACTCCAATTTTCTTTATATTTAGTTCCAATAAGTTTTCCACCGACAGCGGTAACTTAAAGAACTAACAACAATAAAATCCAGGGTTCGATTTCCTGCGATAGGCACAGCAGATAGCCTGATGTGGCTTTGCTCTAAAACAAACAATTTCTTTGATAATTATAGTAATATTTACTGTTTTAGGATTTATTATTAACACCTGCCACACGAGCCAGCCCAGCACCTTTTAATACTGACCCTAGGATGGTCAACAGGGGGTCATTCCGGACACCGGTGAGTTAAGGTTATTTCAATAGATCTCGATGAATGAAGCTAGGAAATAGTTCCAAACGTCTTATTTTTGTCTAATCAAAACAACCTAAACCTTTACGGAATGACTCTTTTTTCTTTTCTTAATCCACATCAAGATACTGGGCTGGCTCGTGTGGCAGGTGTTAAAATTAAGTTTATTTTGCATTGTTAGCTCGGTTCGTGAATTTAGGGTTAGCCCGAATCTATAAAGCTGGGTGAACTTCGTGAAGTATTGTTTACGGATGGAAATATTGTTTACAACGAGTTCACCAAACTGAAGGTGGGGTAGAATTCCCCGAAACCGTTCGTTATAACTCGGTGACAAGTGCTGGATCGAATAACACTTTTTTTTTTCAGACCTACATAGTTTACATATTTTAAGTTATCAGTTCTTGTTGATAAGTTCGCCAACACGATATATGGTGGTGAAGCTGGTCTAAATTTAGAGTGCCATCTCATAGTATCCTGCTTAAGTTCTTAGGTTTAAGTGACATATGAACCTATCGGCTTAACGAAGTTATACCACGTGACTATTCCAAATAACTGTTTTAACAAGAAACATCCGTTCAACAATCATTCACAAATAATTTATGTCATTTACGACAGAGAGAGAAAATGTGTAAGTATTATCCATTATCTATCCATCATCTATTATTCTATCTATTCCTAATACAACTATGTCAGTTAATCTATCACTCTACCCGTAAATGAGTTTATCTGTCTGTTAACATATCTTTTTCCTTTTGCTGTTAATATTAAAGGGTTCCTTATTTGTATATGAATATATGAAATTAAGAAAACACGTAAGATATATACAGTTAAAATGACCCGGCATGGCCAGGTAATTAGGGCGTTCGTCTCGCAATCTGCGGGTCGCGGGTTCGAATCCCCGTCACACCAAATATGCTTCCCCTTTCAGCCGTGGGGGCTTATAATGTGACGGCCAACCTCCCTATTCGTTGGTAAAAAGAGTAGCAGAATAGTTGGCGGTGGGTAGTGATGACTAGCTACCTTCCCTCTAGTCTTACACTGCTAAATTAGGGACGGCTAGCGCAGATAGCCCTCGTGTAGTTTTGCACAAAAACAAACAAACAAACAAAAACAATTAAAGACAAAAAAAAGAAACCCAACAACTCGCGAGCGTTCGAAAAGCAGACGGCTCTTCACGAGTGGTAAACTGCCTACCGGAAATGAGGTAATATCTTCCTTTCCATAGTGCTCGGGTTCTGCCTACAGGAAATGAGGTAATATCTTCCTCTCCATAGTGCTCGGGTTTTACGGTTTTTTATACAAATATTTGTCTCTGTTTCCCTCTTATACTTATTGTTGTTTTTTGTTATATTTTTTAAGAGTACTTTAAATAAACTTAAGAATAGATCCGCATATAATTATTATTTTTCCAATTCATACCTTGTATTTATATTTATAAATACTCGACAAATATATTGAATTGATAATCTTCTGGTTTCAAAGTTTATGTTTAATATTTAATATTCTTTATTGTGTTCATTATTATATTTAAAAAATATTTACTTAAACAACCTCAAACAATTTAGAATTTATACGAAGTTTCTCATATTGTTCGTAAGTAAATACGACTTTATTACTTTCAGTTCGGGATAAACCACTTAATAATATCGACAGTGAAATGCATAAGAAAGAGGTTTAAAATCAACGGTATAAATCACTTTGTCTATCGAATATTCCTCTAAACAAAAAGCATTGAACAAATTTATTTTCCTAAAATTGACGTCGACCAAAAATCAACACCAAACTTAATGCAAATTTATGCTTAAGTTTCGTGAATTTTCAATCGTATTTTCCGAATCTGTTTTATCGTTTTAGAATACTCATTAGTATGACACTGGAATAAATAGATGTTGGAGTAAGTTTGAAGTATATTTTTGACACTACCCAAACTCTTGTTCAATTGAAGAGTAATGTAAATCAAGAAATGACAACTCGTAGAATAAAGCATTAATAAAGCCACAAGAACCAACTAAAAGCCCTGTAATATATTGTAAAATAACAAATTTCCTGGTCAGTGATATATATGTGTGTGTTCTATAAGCAAAGACACATCGGAGGCTATCTGCTCTATCCACAGAGGGGATTTGTTTGTTTGTTTGGAATTAAGCACAAAGCTACACAATGGGCTACCTGTGCTCTGCTCACCACGGGTATCGAAACCCGGTTTCTAGCGTTGTAAGTCCGCAGACATACCGCTGTGCTACTGGTTGGGGGGGGGCTCCACAGAGGCGAATCGAACCCATAATTTTAACGTTGTCCGACCGTGGGACTGTTCAACGATAAACATGTAATTGTAATATAAGAACCAACACATAAGTTGTAAAACAAAACCAAAACCAATTCACCATCAGGTACACTGTTCAATTAGACTTCATGTTCTCGGTGGATTCAACGTCTCTCTATTTAATCTTAGAGGAGCTTTTATATATTACAAATATTAAAATAGAAATGTACAATGTGCATAAGAGTTCTTTAAGTAGCTAAAGCAAACACAACGGTCTTTCAAACGAACCCTAACTTAACAGAATGGCATCTAAAATTGTTTTTATTTGTTTGTAATTAAGCACAAGGCAACACAATGGGCTATCCGTGCTCTGCCCGACACGGGTATCGAAACCCGGATTCTAGCGTTGTAAGTCCGCAGACATACCGCTGTGCCACTGGAGGCTCTAAAAATCGGAAAATATCCCCGGGAATAAACTCTGAGAGCTTCTCATTACAATTAGCCTAACTGCATAGACTACATCATTTAAAGAGTAGAGCGTACATTAATAAAGACAGTTTCATGTAACAAACCGATTACCAATACTAATTGTTTTAAAGGTATGCACCACAAAAACTAAGCCTATAATTATTAGAATTAGGTCGCACTAAACGATCGTCTGAAATACTAATTATAGTAATTATTTTCTGCAAAATCACGCTCCTCACTTTGGAGCTGTGTATGCGTTATAAGAGTGAAGGTAAAACCCCATTATTTGATTAGATTGGCTCAACAGTTAACGGTGGGTGACGTTAACTAGATACCTTCCAGTTAGTCTTTCAATTAAAGATTATGGCCACTACCGTAGATAGTTAAAAATAGATAGCTAGCAGCTTTGAACGAATATCTGAAACAAACAAATTTATTGGCTCTTAGCGGCTTATCGGGAAAGCCTGAGTATTTATAACGCTAAAAATTGGATTTCGCGATGACCATGGCACAGACAGCCCATTGTATAGCTTTGTGTTTAATAACAAACAAACAAAATAAACTTGTTTGTTTAATTAAGGGCGTGGGTTACCCCGTGACAGAAATATGGATTTCAAATTTCAAATGGAAACCCAGGCATGGCCAGTTGGTTAGGGCGCTCGACTCGCAATCTGCGGGTCGCGGGTTCGCATCCCCGTCACACCAAACATGCTCCCCCTTTCAGCCGTGGGGGCGTTACAATGTGACGGTCAATCCCACTATTCGTTGGTTAAAGAGTTGGCGGTGGGTGATGGGTAAAATCTGCGGGTCGCGGGTTCGAATCCCCCGTTCCACCAAACACGCTCGCCCTTTCAGCCGTCGGGGCGTTATAATGTGACGGTCAATCCCACTATTCGTTGGTAAAAGAGTAGCCCAAGAGTTGGCGGTGGGTGATGATGAACTAGCGGCCTTCCCTCTAGTCTTACACTACTAAATTAGGGACGACTAACGCGAAATCCACAACAAACAAACACAAAAAAAACAAACAACTCATACTTACATTCTACTTTGATAAGTACATTTTTACTTTCTCCCCTGCCCTCAACATTGGTTGCAAAACATCGGTAATAACCACTGTGATGGCGCTGTACTCGCTGGATCATCAGTGTTAGGTTACTGACAGTTACTCTCTGCAAATGATCGTTTTGGATTGCCTGCTTGTTAAAATACCAGCCACTGCTGGTTATAGAAGGGACGGCGTCAATTTCGCATTGAAGATGGATGTCTCTGTCTTCTGCCACTGTCCAAGAATCTTGGTTTACTCCTAATTTTATGACCACTTTTGGTTTATCTAAATGATAAGAAAATGTTACAGGTTACTCTTCTTCTTCTTAATAAAGAATTATTATTATTTCTGGCTGTTATTTTGATTTGAAATTAATTATTTCTTCTGAAATAATTAATAATCAGGGGTGCTCGAAGATTAAGCAATCCTCCTTCACCCCACGCGTGGACCAGAGTTGTGGGTTTAAATTGAAGTAAAAACAAGAAATTGATACAAACAAGCTCTGTAAACTTAAATAAGCGTAATTAAAAAAACGTAAACGGCCGATATAGGACAGATGGTCCATCAGGACGGCGGGGATCTATAAATCCTATGCCAATAATTTGATGTGGGGGAAACTTAATAAAGAAAATATCATAACGAGATTTTTATATCATCTACAGCACACACTCGGTAGTCCAGAAGGTTTTAAGTTGACGAATTAAAAATAAAAATGAACACAGAAAATTGTTAAACACTTTCAGTAGACGTACAATAATATACGAGATATAATAATTACCTATTATAATAAGTAAGTCATATGTTAAGCTTTGGCCATTCACAGTGATAGATTGTGGAATAAACGTAGTACACGACTGCTGTATGATACTGTTAAGATCACAATACGAGTTACATGTTACGTAGGAAAAGTTAATATTCATACGGGACTTTACAAACCCGTTGCTAACTTCAGAAAACAAATAATAAATACGATGTCATAATAAAACTTTCCTCCATCTTTGATTATGTTTATTTTGATGTCCAACACCGTTATTTTATCAAACCTTCTACTGACTCTCCATTGTACATGAATGTCGTCTTCCAACACCATTTGTAGGAATTCCCAATGTCCATGGATTCCCAATCAGGTACTTCCATACGTATATAAGATAAGGACGTCTCATGAACTGTGATTTTATTCAACGAAGGATATCCCACGAATCCTGGTTCACTTCATAGAAGGACATCACATAGCTACTGGTTTTATTCAAAGAAGGACATCACATAAACTCTGGTTTAAGTCAGAGGGACATCACATAAACTATGGTTTTATTCAGAAAAGGACATCACATAAACTATGGTTTTATTTAGAGAAGGACATCACATAAACTATGGTTTAAGTCAGAAGGACATCACATAAACTATGGTTTTATTCAGAAAAGGACATCACATAAACTATGGTCTTATTTAGAGAAGGACATCACATAAACTCTAATTGTATTTAGAGAGGGACATCACATAAACTCTAATTGTATTTAGAGAAGGACATCATATAAACTCTGGTTTTATTTAGAGAAGGACATCACATAAACTATGGTTTAAGTCAGAGGGACATCACATAAACTATGGTTTTATTTAGAGAAGGACATCACATAAACTCTGGTTTTATTTAGAGAAGGACATCACATAAACTATGGTTTAAGTCAGAGGGACATCACATAAACTATGGTTTTATTTAGAGAAGGACTTCACATAAACTCTAATTGTATTTAGAGAGGGACATCACATAAACTCTGGTTTTATTTAAAGAAGGACACTATATAAACTCTAGATTTATTTTATACGATCCTTAGAACTGCTACTGTAGACTTAGACGTGTGACTTATTTGGTGCTTAAAACTCGTTAGCAATCGTTTTCGTGGGAGTCTTTCCTGGACAACTAGCCTGGGATGTTTTGCAATGGTATCAGCAGTTCTACAACTTAGGTGTTTTCACAGCCTCTTACGTGTTTATGATCTTTTCTGGTGTTCACTGTATTACATACAGTCATCTATGAAATTAATGCCCAGAGCTTTGAATTGCTTTGGTCTTTTTTATATACAATATTCTTGCTCAGAAAAGAACGTAAGATACACTGCCAGACATAAGCCTACCCTTAGTGGTATTGCCATGTCGCGTACTCAAATATTCGCCGTGAATCTAAAACAGAAATAGAAAAGAAGTCCACCGTGGCGCCACGGCTCCCATGCACAGCAACACGTCACTATCTCTAGATATAATAGCAAAATTTCTATCTGTCAAGTCCTGTATCTCCTGAACGGTTACTTGTAGAAAAAAAAATCGTACATCTTTTCAAGAGTACATTACAGGAAAATTATTCATTTTTGGAAATTCCTAGAATTTCATATCGATATCAACATTGATCCGTCAGTCTTAATATATATTGAACAGTCAATGTAAGAAAAACTTATTAAGAGGAAAAAATATTTCAAAGATGAAGCATGAATGGAAAAAAAAGTTCAACGGTAATTTTCCTAACATAGTGATGAATAAGTATAAAAAGGGGAGTCAACCCAATCCCTTGATGGTTGTCTAGTATGGTTGTCTAGTGGGCCGTTTACAACCGTCTTTTGTCATTCCATGTGTTATTTCAATAAGGAAAATTGCATTGCTGACAAAAATATTTTGGTTTCGAAGAAATGGGTGCATCCAGCACGTTAGAGCGCTCAGCTTCGATAAGTAGCCACAAGGATGTTTTCCGTTGGATGGCATCGTTTCTTGTCATTTTACTGAGCGCAAGAAAAGACCGCTACTGAAGTGAGCACTTTTTATACTGTTGTCATTTCGATAATAAGTGTCAAAGTGGGAAATATTCAATTCAAATAACTTTATTCGACATGGTACAATAAAATTTTGCATCTTTATAATACCGACGTCAAAAATACATAAATTATAATAATGGCTGGAGACGGCTTAAATGGGTAATGAAGAAAAACTTTAATATAAGTTTAACATGACAGCAAATGTACAACGTTTCGATGATGACAAAACCTTATAGTATAAGGTTTTTATCTTTATAGTACCGACGTCAAAAATACATAAATTATAAGTTAGAACGGGCATCTACTAGTATTAATGTATTCAGATCTTATATATATTGCGAACCGTGGTGTCTGACTGAATGTTCGTCTGTCTCCCGCTTGCAAAGCTGCGCACGCAAGTAAAGCCCAAAATTCACTTTTGAAATGACGGGAGAACAGACACGAATAATGTTGATGCCAAATTTCATTTCACAAGCAGGATATTCTACACTAACATTTTAGGAATTAATCCCACTATCATTCACATTTCAAAATGTGACGTAACTTAAAGAATAAAAATGTAGATTTACCGTATGTTATTGTTGGCTTTTAGCATGACTGAAATGATCAACAATTACTTTTTGTGGTGGGCGGTATAATTAGCTCAGAGCTTTGGTTCTGAGTGAAACCAAAAGTGCAACACAATTAACCTTTTTAAAGTCCATGAAAGAATTTAAATTGATAGATTAACTTAAACTTTCACGTCACTGGGGACGGGTACTTTTGCTTGTACTTCTTATAAATACTGTTGGTGCTATAGGTGTGGAACTAACATTATAAACATGATGGTGACTACTTGCACGTTTTAAACTTTCAACGAGGGTTAGCGTCCAGATTATACTTAGACTAATAAATTTCCCACTCACTACAAAACAAATAGAACCTGAGAACAGCCTTGTGAAGTATGAAATATCATTATAAATGTAATGGAGTTCACTTTGCCAACATCAAGTGTGGACACTCATATTTATATATATATATTATTTGACAGAAGAAAAATTAGGAAGTCTTCCATCTCAGTTATCAAGTTATCTGCTAGTTTCAACAAACTCTGAAGGTAGCTGGCTGGACAACTCAAACATGATACTATACTCATCATTAATTATAAGAATGAATATAATTGATTTATTTGAAGCACAAAAGTGAACAATAGGCTATTCGTGTTATACTCACTGCATGGATTGAGCCCCTCATTCCAGGGTCATATGCCTTCACTTTTACTGCTGAGCCACTTGGGAAGGGCAAGTGAATATATATAAGCTATCGACTATAAAAATATTTTTTTGTAAATAATGCGGTTCTCGAGTTTTGTATTAGAGGTACTTACTAAATTTGAAATGTTCCGTAATTTTGTCAAGCTTGTGATAAATGTATAAACTGTTCTGGATGTCTTCACCCCACCCCCCATGGCACAGCGGTAAGACTGAGGTTGTTGTTGTTTGTTATTAAGCACAAAGCTACACAAAGAGCTATCTATGCTCTGCCCACCACGAGTATCGAAACCCGGTTTCTAGCAGTATAAGTTCGCCACTGGGGGGGGGGGGGGGGGCGGCTATCTGCTCTAGCCGTCCCTAATTTAGCAGTGAAAGACTATAGGGAAGGCTGCTAGTCATCACCACCCACCGTCAACTCTTGGGCTACTCTTTTACCAACAAATAGTGGGATTGACTATCACATTTAATGCCCCCACGGCTGCAAGGGCGAGCATGTTTGGTGGGACGGGGATTCGAACTCGCGACCTTTATATTGTAAGTCAAGCACTCTAACCACCTGGCCATGCAGGACAATTTGTTTATTGTTCTTGATTGTTTTAGATTTTAGTTGAAGCTTGATATAAACTAAAATAGAATGAGTATGTGTGTGTGTGTGTGTTTTGTTATAGTAAAGCCACATCGGGCTATCTGATGTGCCGCCGAGTGGAATCGAACCCCTGATTTTAGCATTGTAAATCCCAAGACTTACCGCTGTCCCACCGAGGGATGAGTCTGAGGGCTTACAATGCTAAAAGTTGGGATCGTTGTGTATCTTTGTGCTTAACAACAAACTAGCAAATTTCATTCAAGCCCAAATATCTTTGTGCTTAACAACAAACTAATTAAATTTGTACTCTACATTTTCTTAAGTCTTTTATTTATAAACTTTGTTCTGTTGTTGTTTTCTTGGTGCAAAGCTACACAATGGGCTATCTGAGGAACTGTAGCCCCGGATTTTGAAAGGGAAGAATTTAATCTGACTCGTGATCGTTTTTCCTCATTATATTCAGTATTCATATTTTTTTCTTTTTATCTAAAATAAAAAAAATCCTTTATCACAATAAACGTTAATGACTCTCAAGTTTAATAGTAATTTCAACCAATTAAACAGCAGGTTTCTCTTAATTTTATGGTATTTTGAGCAGTTGAATTCTTTACTTATATTTAAACAGCTTAATGGGTGATTTGAGTA